GCCTTTTAGATTCGTTTAAAAATAACAGCCGTTTATAATGTAATCTGTATTTTTATTTGAAAGGCTAAAACTATGAAGAAAAAGTAAAAGAACATAAATGGATGTTAACTAGTTCACGGTGGTAGGGTCACGCAGCAGCCTCGGCTGTTGCACGGATGGGCAGGCCCGGCCGGGTAAGTAGCACGACCTTACAGAAGACCGGCGTAAAGTGGAAGTACAATACTTTCGCGTTACGTCTGGTGAGTGAGGTGGCCGGAGCCCAATTTTCAAAAGATTGTCAACGCATCTGGAACCCTCGGGTGTAGCAGATGTCCATGGGCGGCGGTATTCACTCATCATCAGGTGAAATGTCTGCTCGTTTGGCAAATTTTCACAAAAAAAAAACTAGAAGGACCACGCAACAGCCTTTGATGTTGCACGAATGGGCAGGTCCGTCCGGGTAAGTACCACGACCTCACAGAAGACGGGCGTGAAATGGAAGTGTCATAACTGTGGGTTTCGTCTGGTGAGTGAGGTTGCCGGGGTCAACTTAATTAAAAGATGCCAACGCATCTGCAACCCTACGGGTGTTGCAAATGTGTATTAGGTGGTGATCACTTAATATCAGGTGAACCGGGAGCTTGATTGCCACCTTCTCACATATAAAAAAAAACTAGTGTCTCAAATGTCAAATGTCGTCCGAGGTCGTCTTACTTTTTGGTTGCTTATTTTTAATAGGATATTTTTATATTTGACTGTAGCTCTTTGGTATCATTATAAAAAGCACACATCAGAGGTTGAGTTACGTATACGTGTATTATATAATTCCCCTAAAATGATTTAATGTCGTTACCTACAAATATACTCAAAGTTTAAATTTTTATAAATATGTAATTCTTTTGTACGTGTGTGCCACTGAACTTCTCCTAAACGGCTGGACCAATTTTAATGAAATTTTTTGTGTATCTTCAGGTCGATTCGAGAACGGTTAGGATTCACAATACGGTATTTTTCATTGCTAACTTGTCGAATTTAAGTCGTGTGTACAGGACAACGTGTGTCCGGTCCGCTAGTTTTATTATATAAAAACATTTGAGAACTAAACAACAGCGCAATTTAAACATGCGTTCTGTCGCATGTAGTAAACTGGAATTGCAGTTACATATAAAAACACGATAAAGGCGCTCGCCTGAAGTTTGAAATGGCACCGGAGGCTATTTAAAGGGAGTGCCTCCATTCGTCGAGCCAATTCCGCGACAAGTATTATCCCACTTATTATAACTAATGAACATTATTTAGCGTTCCTTTTTTAATGCGGGTCTTGATTAACGACCTTTTGCGCGATAATATTCCCTAAGCTGACAGCTTTAGGCCCTATAAATAATAATTCCTTGGTATAATTGGCTCAGTTTTATTTCCTTCGTAGGATTTTTTAGATAACGTATTAGTTTTAACTTGTATTTCAAAATGTAGCGTAGTTGTCTGTACATTTACACGTCAAAAGTACGCAAATGAAAGTGTTCTTAAATTACATATTTTTCTAGAATAACAGTTTAAAATAAATACGTTTTCGAATAACATTGTCAAGAAGTTGTCAATATCAGTTGCGCGTTGTCAATATCGTAATCGCATTATATAGCCTTTTAACTTTAAACGGTTAGAATGATTATGCAATGTTTTAGCATTACTTTGCTTATAGCTAGAATTTTTCCAAGCATATTTTAATACTAGTACTAATTATCGTTACAATGTGGATGAAACCTACTGTGTTTGTCTTGATTGGTTCATAGCAAGTATCCTTACTAATATTATAAAGGCGAAAGTTTGTATGTATGGATGGATGTTTATTACTCTTTCACGCAAATATTACTGAATGGATTTTAATGAAACTTTACAATAATATAGCTTATACATCAGAAAAGACATACGCTATAATTTATATACATATTTTATCTATATGTCTTTCTCTCTGAATGTTACGCCTTCAGCCTATTCTACGTAGACGTAGTCACGGGCAGCAGCTAGTATTCCATATGTGGAGTTGTATCAGTAAGACTGTAAATTCTATTTGGTTAAAATTTGAATTGAGTATTTTGAATTCATTGAGTTCCATGGGAAAGAATTCTGGATGTCATCCCTTACAGAATTTGAATTTTGCTTTGATTTATTAATTAACTTATCGATATGTAACTAAAATATTTAATACCAGTTACTTTCCTGTCCAAAACAAAAAACAGCAACGTTTGATGCACGTTTTATTACCTAATCTACTTATATCGAATAAAAACTTTAACCACATTAAATTAAACTACGGGATATCTACACAGAACCTTACCTCACCTCTTTAAAAAAACAGAACATGTTTAAACAAACCCTTCGGTATTCAAAATGTCCATGGCCGACAGTGAGTACGTAACATTAACGAAGCTGTTTTGCCATTTATCCTATTAACAAAATCACGTTTTTTCTTAAATACATAGACTGCTCATAAGTTTTAATATAAATTCATTTCAAATACAGCTTAGTCATTAAATATGTCTACAATAATATTTTTTTCCTAGTTGTACTTGTATTATTTTATTTTATTTATTTTTATTTATGCTTCATTGCAAAACCTTAAAAAAAGGATTACAAAGGGCGGACTTAATGCCATTTGGGCATTCTCTCCCAGTCAACCCGGGGCCCGTAGTGAGATCGTGGTAGGTGCAATAAGCTAAAAAAATCATAAACACTAATATACTATTCTCTTGTGCTACGCTGTAGCGAAGTGCTACGAACACTTCTATTGTAGGCTGCCGTCTAAAATGTTCACATTGATGTAAAATATGATAAAAATTAAATCAGCTAATTATCACAAAACAAAATGTAATGAAACAATAAAAATATAAAAAATAATAAATATATATTTACAGGGAAAATGACAAGTGCGACTAACTCGAACTCCCAGATGGACCGATCTCACGTTTCATAGTGAAATTTTCAAGCAAAACTAGCGTCGTGGACTTGTTAAAGTTTAAAATTGAATTCGTTACCCGTCGAGAGGGATGCCGTCGCCCCGTCGTCCTACTAGAGCGTCTGAAAGTGCACCCGCTGTCGTCTTTTGTCAATATATGTTGAACGCTTTCCAACAGGTAACGCTCCGCGTGTTTGTTTTGCTAAAATGATACCTCATTTCACATTGTTTACCAACTGTTTTCTATTTTATGGCGGTATTTTCTAAATTGTACGTAACTAGATAAACAAAAAAAGCGACGAATGTAATTTTTGCAATCAAATCGTGATAACACGATGTTTTTTTTTGTGAATCGCAAGATTTGTGAAACCGTACATTTAATTTGCAGTTTTCTCGCTACAATAAAGAAAAAAAAATGATCATGGAAGGATTATAATTTTAATATAATTTTCATGGCCATTAAATTGTAATGCTCGAATCACTTGCTAATAACCACATATTTCCTTCAATCGATAAACAAAACCTAAGCAAGACATTTGAAGACATATAACATAGGTCATAAATGATAAACACATATAATATAGCTCATAAATAACATCAAAACTCTCTGCAGTCAGTAAATGTTTACGTCGAGTAAATTGTTTTTCAGATAGACGCTTATGTTACGTAAAGAATAATATCTTACGTAACAAAAATTATAGAAAATTTTAATGATCTTATATCCGTTTCCGTTTCCGTTTTTGTACGAACCTTTTTGTTAACTATGGCTTTTAATTCTGAACCTTTTTGTTAACTATGGCTTTTAATTCCCCTTAAACTAAGATATAAACATATGGTATGTTATAATAGACATAATATATCATCTGGTTCAAATGGCTTGTTAGTAATTTATTTCTTTTTTTTTAATGTGAAAAGTTGCCAAGCGAGCAGACGGTTCACCTGATGTTAAGTGAATACCACCGCACATGGACATCTGCTGCACACGAGGGTTCCAGATGCGTTTACAACCTTTTGAAAATTGGGCTCCGGCCACCTCACTCACCAGACGAAACGCAAAACTTCCACTTTACGCCGGTCTTCTGTGAGGTCGTGGTACTTACCCGGAGCCAGCCCATTCGTGCAACAGCCGAGGCTGCTGCGTGGCCCTACCACCGTAAACTTCGTTCCTCTTATTTCCTTTTTCTGCTTATGTATGCTGGAAGATTGCTACATCTAATTAGTTGAACCTGTTAACGATTTGTGTCCATCAGAAAAATACACGTCTCTCTATATTTTTACAACATTACCGATCTCTGGCAGACATTCGTATGAATTTCTGGGTTATGCTGTAACTGTCAGGCTTATAACTGTTTTATCATGTATATAAATATAACACTGAATAGAATACCAAATAAAAGTCATATTTCTTAAGTTTATCAAGCGATAAAAGTCGCACGTAACTATTGCCCTCTGTACATATGTGTGCCGGGATAAATTTATATTAAAGAATACAGCGAAAAGTTTCCTAAGCTTATTAATGGAAAAACGTTACGAAGTTTCACTTGTGAAAAAAGGTTCCTACGATAAAGTTATTCGAAGTTTTCTGAAAGTAAGTTAATAATTATGAAGTTGCTTACAGTGGAGAATTGCTATTGCTAATATCCTGATTTTTTCATTTCTTTAATGTATCGATTTCCTGACGGTTCAATTCTGTATTTTAGTATCAATTCTTTATTCTATATACATTATCCAGCGAATGTTTGAATAAAAAATCGTACAACATGTCGTTGAATGAATTATGACATCTCAAACAGTCGAGACGGGTCTGACATCATAACGTTAGTCTCGTCACCCGTCTGGCTGTTAATTGGGCAATATTTTAAATGGCAACGGGTCGTATTAGAAAAATGAAACATCAGTATTCATAAGCCGAGGCCCACTGAAATACGGGGCGACGTCGCCCGTTCACGCCTCGACTGGAAAATTGACGCACATTAGTGCGGCCATCTAAGGGCCACTCAGATGTCCGCTCTTTATAAGAGCCGAAGAAACCGGCCACTAAAGGCTGATGCAATTACCGGCTGACTCATCTCGCGCAAAAAAGGCGCCCAATGCGGCGTTCCAGTTGCATCTGTATCTCCTCCCGATCATCAGGGAGCGTTTGAAGGATGCAGCCGGGAGGGGGTAGCGCGGCGGCGGGGGTGGAGGCGACGCGGCGCCTCAGTCGAGCCGTGAACGCCGCGCCGGACGCACGCCTGATGAGACGCTAGTTTTAACCAAATGAGGACCCCGCGGAATCCGGATTCGCGAGTAACGTGCCGTTGTAACGCAAAACCGTCCGCCGGCCGCCGTTGAGTGTGTTCCCCTTACCTCATAGGATAAGACTCCCTTGGACTGTAACCGTTGGTGGCTAATGTGAGTTGAGATCTAGCCGCGTGTGTCTGCAAGTCACGTGCCCTAGATTTGGGGTGTCGTCTCTGGACCGCTCGAACCGCTACATTTTTCCGTTTATTGACCAGGCAATGCTTCTGTAGATCTGTAGATTTGTAGATCCAATGTTTTAGTTACGTAGCATACCCTCGTAGCTTGCAAGTGTCGATAGAGTTTGATGTATGAAAAATGTTTATAAGTATAACATTTAAATTTAACATATTGAATTTATAACACTCATTAACTTGCTATGCTATTTCATTACGATTATGTATGTACATTTCATGATCAAATTAAACAAGTGATTACTATTTTTTCCCTCCATGGTTATTTAAATATATTTTTGTAAAGATTCATGTTTTGATCCCTTTTATTACAAGTAATTTTAGTACAAGAAAAATAAACATCTTATGCTATACTAAAAATCACATAGTCTACTGTCGCGCCTGACGCACACTTTTATAGTGTATATTGCATTTTAGACTTTATTGCCTTACATTAGAGGTGCTTTTCAACGCTAGTAACACAGACAGTAGCATTAAAGGCGAATGTCTGTAAATTTACTGTCTTATTTCTTCATTTTTAGTTAGCTCCTCCGCAATGCTTCGCCAGTATTTCTACACAGTAAATTTTCAATAGATGTGTTAACGTTAGGCACTTCGAGTGCCAGTAGATTTTTAGTACTCACTCAAACTATTTTATTGCCAATGTACTAAATTTTACTAATAAACTGACATGTCATTACGTATCATCGTATTACTGTACTTTATTTATGGAAAGGGGACGGAATCCCACGTGGTTCACCTGAAGGTAAATAATTCCTGCCACGTGGCATTGGGCTCAATTAACCCACCCTGCGAGGGGCCGGGGCGCATGTTTCCGTAAATGATAAACCTGTACTGATTGTTGATATAAATCATACGGTAACATGTTTTGATGTTACTGTTAAGTGACAATAAACGCCATGTAATAAAGATAAGAACGCGTACAGAGTTTCTACAATTAGCATCACTATTGAGTTCGTTAGTAAGATTTAACTACTTAAGCCTGTTCAGTTTGAATTCGGAGTACGAATTTGAAAATCGAACGCACCCGCCGAACCGACACTCGTGACGGCACAGATGATGACGAAATAGGCCTCGGCAGCGCCGATGACTGTCGATTTCCAACTCCACAGACGACTTAATATTCGGAACGGATCATTTGGCAGAACACATTAGATGAGACGGGCGTTGTGTGTGTGTGCGTGTGCGTGGGGGTGTGCGTCTGGGGGGAGGTGGGGGGCGATGCGGGCAGCGGGCGCATGGCGGATCGATGCGGCGGCACTGGGGTGTGATTTGCCTGCGACGGGCCGACTCTACCCCACCCCTGTGCCGAGATAGCCCGGCAGACGGGCGTATATCGCCGGCTGTAAAGTCTGACAGACTTCTAGCCGTCTCGGCTTGTTTTGAGGCCGTGGCGGCCGGACGAGCGTTCTTACGCGCGCCCGTCACGGGGCAGAGCCGACTCTACTCGTTAAGGATGTCAGCGTAGAGTCGAATTTATTCATAACTAATGTTGAGGTAGAGACCCTATGTTTTATAGGGCATGCTAGTGACCTTTTCCGGAAAGTTTTGTCAAGTTTTGATTTTTTAAACTGATCAATTAATTTATAATTACGATTAATATTGCTTTTTTACACTACATTTACAATGTTTTCGAAGCTGTTTTAATTAATACAATGAAACGTTAACTATTTCTTTTGATAGCGATTGATACAAATATCTTCGTCATAATAAAACTATTGACCAAGATTAAAGATAGCCGCATAAATCACTTTCGGCCTCAAAAAACTTTATATCTGACGTGACCTTAATTGTGAGCTACCAAGTGACAAGATTCAATTCTTAAGTCTTGGCAACCTCACTCTTATAGTTCGATTCCAAGGTGAAGACTTCATGGGTTTCTTTAAACTTTAACGTTTTATTATTGGCCATAGTACACTCCCCACGCAATATTTATTCCGTTTTTTTCCGGGACCTCTTGCATTTTTGATGATTGAGGCAGCCGGGGTATCCTTTTTAAGATTTCCATTGCACAGTATTGCAATTCCCTTGTCAGACAATATTCCGCCTTTTCCGCCTATCTATACAGATAAATAAAATTGTAGTGTCTGTTTGTAATAATAAATTAACCGCTTTTTACTAAATGCATTTGGATGTATGTTAACCAAAATAACGTTTTATACGATTTTTGTCTGTCTGTATGTATGTTTGTTCCGGCTATCTTTGAAACGGCTGAACCGATTTGGACGGGACTTTCTCTGCAGATAGCTGATGTAATAAGGAGTAACTTAGGCTACTTTAGAATTTTTTATTATAGAATTTTTTTATTTTAAATTCTACACGAACGAAGCCGCGGGCACAGCTAGTCACTAATAAAGTTAGCCGTTTCAAGTCCAAACTTTATTAATTACTAATATGTAAAACTTTTACAAACATTTGTGTTAATACATAATTTAATGAAAGTTTCAAGTTATATTGTCGTAAACCCATATCACATATATAGTAGAAAACTTAACTTTCTCCCGAAATACGTCTTGTTCTTACGTTTTCGTATCATCGTTCTAAAAATGCGAAAACTTTTTTATCGAAAAATCTTTTCTTGGCCTGTGGTCTATTTTATTGAAAGGAAACTATTCTTCTCCAGCGTTCTTTTATGACCCACAAGGAGGAATAGACTTTGTTTCTAACACATTATTAATTTCATTATAATTCTATCTTTTAGAACGTACTTCCAAATACTGTGAATATTATTAAAAAGAGAACAATCAATATATGCACCCATCTTTTTATTTTAGAGGCGAAAAGTATTTATTACTTAAAAATTATAAAAATTACACGTTCTAATGAATATACAACTTTTTCGCTACATTTGTTTGCAACGAAACAACTTTTTATATTTCCGTATATTTCTCTCCCTTGAACAGGTTTTGACCTCTTTCCTTATTTTACAATTTTTTTTTCGTTTCGAGCGATATAAGGTAACGAGTACACTGGGAACATAAAAAAAAGCATGTGGCAGACATGTGAAGATTTCGTAGAGGTGCCGCGTAGCGAACTCTACCACTTGTTTTTCAGTGGTGGTCTAGTTATGAGGAGCCGATTTTACGACGTCCGGAGCGCCAATATAAATTCCTGTAGTGGTTATCAGTCTATCACTACTAGATGGGGTCAGCGCAAAATGTCAATCACATTGTAGAATGGTATGGGCTAGGTTTTTTTGTATGATTGGCCGCCTACCTGCCGTGAAATTTCCTTAAGCATGCATGTGGAGCAATTACCCGAGGGTCTCCTGGGGGTAATTGGCCCATGGGGGTATCGAACCCACGACCCCCAGTGCTGAAGCCAATAGCTTACAAACTGGGCCACTGGTGCCGTTGTATAGAGAGATGATTTATCTGCCGATATAAGCAGTTAAATTGAAATAGCACCGCTTGGTTGCAATAACACCGATAAATTGTTATCCTCAATTAGTTATACCTTCGTCGTTTGATCATGATTATGTAATTGTTGTTATTGCTTAAATAACTTAATCCAACATATCTACAAATACCTGCTTGCTATATGTTCTAATCAATTTCCAAAACAGATTCAAACAAGACAGATGTCTTGACGAAGGTTTCTCTTTACAGGCCAAGTTACGAACGGATTAATTTAGAGAGCATCGAGTGTAATCAAGCAAAGCGTGGTCTGCGATCTTGATAGCGCCCGTTCTTTTTCCTCAACCCTATCTGATCCATTCGCTAATGTTATTTCCTCCCCTCTAACCCTTGGTACGCCGAATGTTGTTTCTAAGCGGAAATTATTGCGATATCTACGGATGTTCTGCGTTTGGTTAGTGGTCTCCGTTTTGGTTTGATTATATCTCTCTATCTTTATATATATAATTCTTCTGTACGTGGGTATGTCACTGAACTCCTCCTAAACGGCTGGACCGATTTTAATGAAATTTTCTGTGTGTCTTCAGGTCGATTCGAGAATGGTTTAGATTCACATTTTTTTTATTTTTTTTTTAGTTGTTGCCGGATTTAAGTCGTGTGTATAGGACATCGTCCGTACGGTCTGCTAGTACCCGTATATAACGCTGGCTGCGTCTAGTCAGGCAATAACTGAATCTTGCGAGGAGAGTCTCGCTTGATAGAAACTGCAATACTCTTACTCGGTATTTATAAATAACAATTAATTTCATCATTTCGAAACAGATTACCCGTTGCATACAAAGAAATGTAAAATTCTACTTTTATAACAGCTCTTGTGATGTTAAATACGTATTAACAAAATGAACACCGTGATATAAACTGATTATTAACCGCTCATTCTAACAATCATGGTAACTGCGTTAACGTGCTCACGCACAATAGGTACTTAGCCTCTCCTTCTTTCTCTTATTTCGGATAGCATTGCCGCAATTATATCTACAATTTCAATATCAACAACCACATCCCTTTCTCAAATTGCTTATGTATCATTCTGGGCGAGGCACTGTTGACATGCGAGTTAACATCTTTTCTAGTGAAAGGGTTTTGAACCGGATCAAATGCACCAATTACTTATTAATCTCGTTACTAGTAAAGCTTCAATATACCTTGACTCGAAAGTGGCCTCACGAAGTCATGTCGTGAAGTAAATTGCTTTGCTCATAATATAATTGCATTGTTCATAATTTTGCTTTACGTCCGGTGAGTGAGGTAGCCTCCATCTAGCAGTGGTTAGCGTTGAGCCTGCTAAATGTCTCCTAGTGGCGTGTGTCCAGAAACGATCATTCTTTCTTACCAATCCGAGAGTCTTTGAATTAAGAAAAGCTCTACCCCCAGTATCTTTGACTGCGTTATATCATAATGTGTTTATTAACTAATAGAGTTTATACTTGCGATCATCTGCACCGAATAGACAAGAAGTCGTGTATCCGTTTGATATTGCTATAAATGGTGGGATTTGGAGTTTTTTAATCATCATACTATAGTACATAGTCTATATAGAAATCTCATTACTGGGAATATAAATAATATTTTTAATATGCACATGTAAAATGTTACGGGTAATAAATCTTGGTTTGTGTTACAAAATCGTGTGGTGCAATTTCTCAATCATTCGTTTTAATTAAAAGCTTTTAATGTAAAGTGAAACAACGCAGAGTTAAATAAATCAGACTGTCATGCAGTAAATTATTTAAACCACTGACGATAATTTTAATTCAAAATTAATTGAGTTTCAAAAAAGTTGCTGATTTTAAGTTCGAAACAAATCAAGTACGGTAATTTAAGTAAATTTAATATTTATTGTATTTGGTTAACAACAAAAAAGAAAACAAAAAAGTAAACACATTTTTCTTAAATAAAAATTGCAAATTTGTGAAAAAAAGACCACAAAATTGTGTGTAAATTTTTGTGTGTGAATCAAAAAGTATTCAGTTCCGATGAAATGTCTCGATGAAAACGAGCGTTATTTCAATTAAAGTTTTTTTCTTCTATCTACATATATCTCTAAATTACATATTGTAATCTACATACTCAAGATGTGTCATAATTTGAAATTTATATAAGTGGTTATAGTGCTAATCTCGGCATTAAACAAAACATTCAAGTTTGTAGAAAAAATGGACGAATGGTTGCTTGAAGTGACTGTACGTCATTCCGGAACGCGGGTTTGATCTCCGCGGCTGCGAAAAACTTTCCCTACAAGTTTTCTACAAATCTTAACGTCATAAATAAAATGTTTTGATCGGAATGGTTGGTATCCCTCACCGATGCCGATGTTTGAACTAAGACTTGAAATTGACATAGCTGTGCGCGAAGTAGTCAATGTGTTTTAATGACTATTTTTATTTCTCAGACTAACGGTACTTAAAAATAAAATTGTTTTCCGGAATTTCTCTGTCATCATCACGAATGCCTTAAAGTATCTGAAACTTACTTACTTAAAAACAAATTGATCGCTATAAAATACCTTTACTTACAATCCTTATACATTTGCTTCACGTATTAATACATCGATTATGTATGTAATAGATAATTAAATTAACATCAACAAATACGATCGAATTTTGATTCTTCTCCTGTTTGCCCACGCAGCGATTGTTTCAATGTTGGAGTGCTTATACTGGCCCATAAACCAGGGTTTAATCTCACTGAAAGCCAAATTCCTAATGCTCCGCTCAGCAAGGTGAGTTAGGTCGTATGATTAATGGGCACCCGAGGCAGTTATATTCAGGAATACCACGTATAAATGTCTTTGCGGCAATTCCGCAGCATTCTCCACCTCTTAACTGCAGTTTTTAGCGATAACATTATCGACGGTACGTGGAAAAGTTTGAAAAGGGACTTTCGTCGGTTGCATTAAGTGCATATCATGAGAGTATTACGAAAACTGACTATTACGAAATTATCGAACTCATTTTGTATAAAAGCTCCACAGGGTTTAATCTCGCGAAACACTCAAATGGAAATATGAGTTGAAAACCTTATATTTAAATTTTAACTAGAGTCAAGA